TTCTCAAGCGGATGGCTGGTTACCTGGTGATAGATCCACCGAATCCATTAGAAAAATGATATTAAATGCATCTAATGCCCTTGTGAGTTACAGTTGGGAGACTAAGCACCGAGAATTGACGACCCTCTAGCGCATGAAAAATTATACTCATGCAACCTTCATAATCATCGAGGCAATTCATTATGCAGAATTAAATGGGTACTGGTCCTTGTACTGGACAGCAATTCCGATATTTGCGGAATTGGAGTTGCAACGAGGAAAAGTGGAATCCGCGCGACGTAGACTAGAGGATATTTTACCACAAATAGCTAGAGGAGAAGATTTGGAGCAAAGAGCCCTGACATTCTCCGTATACGCCAAGGTGCTGATGGCCACAGACACGGCCAAAAGTAGAGGTAAGTAGCGTTACCGCAGGTGGGCTTCCCAGTTGATATCTCTAGTGTGGTTGGCACGAGCACTTTACTACCTCAAGCGAGCTGAAGAAGACTATTCATTGCTAGAGATGCATGCATCCGTGCAGGACATGCTGTACATGCAAGCTGTCATCCATGAAGCCTTAGGCGAACGTTCGCAGAGAGAAATCGCAAGTACCAGATTGAAAGAGGTCGAAATTTTAGAAAATAAAGTCAGAATAGAGTTGGACGTAGGTATGATGGAACTATGGGACGTGGTTTGTGAAGTGGGCATCGCAATTGCAAACGGTGATACATTTCGCGAATAACATGCAGGTTACGGGAGCGAATATCGAATTATTACTTGAGTAGATATCTTGAAAGTCTTGCAAGATGATAATTAATAGTGGGCATCTGAGGTTTTTGCATCGGTGGCTATCACGAAGAAAATTTGAGTAGCTGGTGCCTCGTAGCCTTTTATTATACTTACTGCAACCCGCATACAGTCATGTAAGTTTTTAGCAGCGATAGCGCAGTCTCCTGTACTCTCAAGGTCGTTGGTCGAAGCCCAACAGCTTAACATTTCTGTCAATTGCTGGTTACAAGGACCAGGTCGTTGAACTAAGTCCAAGATGCGAATGATAAATGATCAATCAAGAATATTCATAATCAGTGATGGGACTGACTTTTTTTTGGTTTGACCTTGAGTTTTTCTATCCGTGTCATGGTCAAGGATTCCAAGTGAAGCACGGCAATTGGTGAGGCTGACACGTTACATACAGCTCACTCCCTATCCATCTTCAATGGCGACCCTCACATCCCACAATGCTGCTAACGCTTGTAAGATCTTGACTTCTTTATATTCAGACTTATGATAGCTCACGAATCATCACGAATTGCTAGCTGTAAAGCGTATCCTGCGAGAGGCAAGGCAGCTCCAAGAGGATCCAGCAACCGAGTTCGTCGGCGGCCCACTTGAGGTAGGCACTTGTGCATTGTTAGCGCTTATATTATGATGTATAATGTTTTCTTTCGCAGGATAACTTATTCGTATGTATACCGAGTGGCAATTCCCCTGTGACCTCACTAATCAACCGCCACCCTTGTATGATGCAGGACTGGCATTGTACTTTAAGAGGTCCTAAAGATACGGAGTTCGAAGGAGGGCTATATCACGTTCGGATTACCCTACCGCCGACATACCCGTTCAGACCTCCATCGCTCCGGGTGCTCACTCCCAGTGGCAGGTTCGAAGTGGACACTCCTGTGAGCTTTATGCAGCATCAGTGTGAATGAATGCTAATTTGGGACCGCTCCTCTTTCGGATGAATTAACCAGATTTGTATCAGCTTTACTAATTGTACGTCTCACGAATCGGTTCCCAGGACAAAGCTAACCATAATCTTTCCATAGATCATGAGGAGTTATGGCAACCTGCTTGGGGTATTCGAACTGGTCTGTATTCCTCTGTTGTTCACTGCTGCTCAAGTGTTCAGACTCTTTGTATACAGCAATCATTGGCCTGCAAGGCTTTTTCTCTCAATCTGGTTCTCATGCATTGGGAGTCGGTGCTCTTAACGCCCCTGTTCAAGAGCGAAAGCGTTTAGCCACCCTGTTCGTTCATCACCAGATCTAAATCCTTCGTCGAGGCTGACATTTATTACTCTTAAATCAGGTCAAGAGAATGGAAATGCCCTCATTGCAAGCAAAAGAATATTGACCTTCTTCCTGATCCAGTAAAAGAAGATTCTGATGCAGATGCTCAGGTTTCCTCCCACTCACCGGTGCACGCATTGCCACAACAGCAAACCGACCAAGAGACGGCATCATACGATACCCCCGTTGGTGACGTCTCTGCTTCCCACCAAGCGCCTCTTGTCTCGTCTGAGAGTTTCAACACTCTATCAGCAGCAATGACTACCAGCTCCCAAACGCAAGTGGCGACTCCGGGTGATACGCAGCCCTATAATGCACAGAAAATCTACACAGATACACTTACAAGACCTTTAAACCAACGAGAGAACGCGGTAAATCAAGATCAACAGGTACAAATACAAGCTTTCCCAGCTTTCCGTAATTCCGATCCCGAAGGAGTACCCTTGTGGTTGGACAGTGCTCTATTAATATTCTCTGTATTACTCGGGGGTATCGTAATACATAGAGTGATGTTTTGACCCAAGGCATTCACCCTGGACCATCGCATCTCATCGTCATTTATGGTCCTTCGCTGTCCTATCAGTGGAGGGAGCTAATTTAACATTATCTGGAACCGATGCATCAATTATCACACCGTAGAGTGTTTGTACCTCACAAAAATATATTGCTTTCATTCAAAATTATCGTGAGAATGAGTAACAAACTTGGCAATTTTCTTCTATTGAACAAGGACACAATTTTAACATAAAGTTGGATCTAATTATGTCGACGGCTCCTAACGAAGCTGCGTCGGCCTGACCCTGACCACATCCGATTCTCCTCGACTGCCACTCAAGCCAGGTTGTCATCATTAACAATGGAATCCGGAACCTCAACACACGCGTCTGTGAAATCTCAGGAGGCATCTGTTGGTCCTTTACCAGCCTATGACCTATTCCTTCGTGCTTTAGGGGACAGTTATCTAAACTTCTTCATCGAAAGGTTAGCCTCGACATCATTTCCCGCGTGAAACATCTAGAAATAGTGGTCGTCATATGAGAGCTCCCAAATTTCATGTCCTATTTTGTATTCGCCTGGATGATCTAGTTTGCAACATGCGGGCTACAAGGTTTGCTGACATTTGTGATGCTTATGGTACAGATTACGCATAGAGGAGCAATAGTACGCTTTATCTTTGTTCCGGCGCTCCTGGTGGCTAATTGAAGCCGGGTTCCCTCTTCAACCGTTGGCCAGTCGAGATGGTATGCTCAGATTGCTCCAGAGACAGCGCTCCGTCGACCTTCTCTTTGATGAACGACTACCTGACCGGGATTGGACGCTACGGAGAACATGGAGGGATGTATGTGACGGACTTGAACGGGGTGCGTCTACCTGTGTTCCGTTGTTGCAGCGACTGACCGACATTTGATCATCTCCCGGATTTGTAGAGTCAGAAGTGCGGGGAGCTCTCATCAATTCCTTGAGAATGGACGTCGTCGCTCCTCTCCAAGAGCTTAAAGTAGGCTTGATCCCTTTCCAACACTCTTCTGATCTTTGATAAGTGGCTCATAAACATCATGACTTCATTCAACATATAGGAAACACATGAAAGGTCTCGCAAGAGAATAAAGGAAGACATCAAGAGTTCATTGACACAATATACTGACTACAGCGAGAATGTGTTACCCAGACTGAAGCGAATGTACATTAAACGATGTCAAGATGTCGACGAACTGAAAGCAGCTAGTGATCCGAAGACCAGTTCTGCTACGAGTCCCATAATTTCCAACCCTATACTTCCTAAACAGAGTGTACCCTTTCCACAGGGCTCACCTGTGACCTCACAGGGAACAGGAGTAATACCGACCAACATGCCCACAGGAGGAACGGAAAGAGGTCGAAGGCAATCGACTGCTACCTCCCAAAGCAAGCGGGACCGGAGCCCTTCTGGTAACACGCCCAGTTTTTCTGATTTGGCCCAGCAAGGCAAGTAGGGTGTATTGAGATGTGCCATATAACACTGTTACTTAACTGTTAGAACTAGGTAAACGACAGCTCAACAATTTACGAACTCTTATCGACACACGAGCGAGTCGGGATGGGAATGATCTTGCAATGCGCAGCGTTCGTGCAAGACGGGAGGCTGATGAGGCAGGTGATTGAACTCGTTATATTATTGCGACCATCTCTCAATGACTGGTATCCCCAGACAAAGAATATCGAAAAGGCGTTCATGCAATGGAAACTTTACGTTTACGCCGAGTAAAGACTCTCGAAGCTGGATATACGGTACGCACGTTAACGGTACTCAGGATGTATGATTAAGTATTTTACACCCAGAGTCTTGAAACATTGGTAAATGAAAGTGCAGACACAATGACGAAAGTGCTGGAAAGGTATGCCGATAACCTAACGTAAATAATGACCGTAGATACTGGGGGTAAATTAGATTGACGACCTAATAGGGCAACGAATGTCACAAGTTCCCATCTTTTAGAGGGCCTAGACGAAGTTATTCATCAAATCAACCCGGCTCACGATTTAAATCGGTTGAGACAATTGACAAGTGCAAGTTTGCAAAATGCATTCCCCAAGCGTATTCTATACTTCAATTATCATGCAGGCGAATGTCGCGATATGCTATTTGGTGTCAGCTTACTGGATTATGCAAGCTCCAGAGGCCTGAAGGACAACATGCCTCCAAAAATAGTGAGCATCTGTATCTCCGAAGTGGAGGCGAGAGGACTACGATCCGAAGGAATATACAGGGTAAGCAACAAATAAAGACGATGAGAGGTCAACGACCTGACTAGGTTCTCTGACAGGTCTCTGGGAAATATGCTACAGTTTCCGACGTCAGTATAAGCTTACACAAAAGACTTTGGGTTCTCATTGGCTTCGTAGATGGCCCTAAGCGCGGAAAAGAGTGAAGCAGATTTCCGCTTTGATCCGAAGGACGATGTCTTCTGTGTCGGATCCCTATTAAAGGTATGAATTGAATAAAATATAAACCCGGTCACTGAAATAGACCACAGTACTACCTGAGGGAGTTGCCAGAACCAGTCTTCAAATTTCCCATGGCAGAGAGAATGCAATACACGGAATCTCGAGGTAATGGCCTACCTTTATCCTTGAAATATATGAGATTTGATCTTTTGACTACAGAGAAACATCTCTCAAATAATCTGGCTATGATTCGCGGAAAGATGAGACGTCTTCCCCCTATTCATCAGGCGACCTTGCGGGCTATTCTGGAGCATCTGACGAAGGTAGTAGCGAATGTTAAATATAACAAGATGGATGCAAAGAACCTAGCGGTTGTATTCGGTCCTGTTATACTGGGTGAAGAAGCATTATCTACACCTGTCGACATATTGGCGATGTCCAAGGTGGGCCATTTGTTTTTCTAGGTTTCATCACTGATGATAATCTCGCAGGATACACTAATGGAGGACATAATCTCCAATGTCCGGATGTTGTACGAACATTCTAGCATCGATGAGAGGCCTGCATCCCCACCTTTACCGAGCCCTCCAGCACACGAAGAGGGTGCGCTGAACTCACGTAATCATGCCCCAATATACGGTTCATCACATACTGTCATCAAAACCTTACCAGCGCAGGGACAAGTGGAGAGTTCAACCAAACGACAGGGAAACCGCCAACACAACCGCAGGGCTACAATATCCTCATCACAGGCAGACACTACCCCTCCTCCTTCGGCACCTCCTAGGCCATCCGAGGATGGACGTTCTACGGGCCATATCAAAGCACTTTCAGGAACACCTTCCTCCACGATCAACTCGAGACCAAGGCTTGATATCAATAATCACAGCGCCAGCCCATCCATTTCGTCTTCTCCAGTCAAGGAGACATATAAAGATAGGCCTTCGAAGCCCTCATCGCGCAACACTTCCGAGGTGGCCTTAACATCGAATTTTAGTACTTCTCACCTGACTAGTGAGGCTGGGCCGTCAGCTTCAAGTCTTAACCTTCCTATCAAAACCCCATCTTATCCTAATTCGCTATTACACGAACCGGCTGTCTTGTTGTCACAGGCCAACGAAATGAACGCTGACGTGCAAGAAGTGGATTATCCTGGTAGTCCAGATACCAGTGCGCTTGAATTTAGAACTGCGGTGAATACTCCAAGTTCAGAGGAGGAACCGACCCCATTTTCCCACTTGTGATCTGCCTGTGTCTACTATCGTCGTCACTCTGGACAGGCCATCATGCCATTTATAAAGGACACTGTCATGAAAGACTATCATTCACGGGATTACCTTCGATACCAGTTGTTTCTATCTTGTAAACCTTGTTATTAACTATGTCATGGACCTTGTTCACACTATTTCTGTAAAGATTTACACGACTGGACTTTATCTCATCCGAAAAACGAGTCAGATTGATACAAATCGTGGGGTTTAGTATCCATGGTTAACCAGAATCACAACCGAATGAATGGTGACTCTGAAAACAAGTTTACAAGAGTGCAAGGGGAACAAAGCACGTTGGAATACAAAGATGGATACAGGGACGATCATTATCCTGTCACAATGAGCACATGGAGCAGAGGACAGGTTGATAGCAGGGGAGGGGAGATGAAGGATTGAAAACCCACAAGAATGATACATCCAGCTCGGTTAGTATGAAGCTAGTGTTCGATCTCGTCAGCGTGAGAGAAAGGGAGATGGGCATGAATAGAGGGGTGAAAAGGAGGGGTCCTCATCTAGCTTTATCGCTATATATCCCGTACCAGGAAATTTGGATCAAAGGGCATGAGATTGCGAATGTACTGAAAGCAAGAGGAAGAGGGGGATTGTACTCGTGTTAGGTATAAATCGACCACGCATGACTTGAGAGAATGATCCCATCTTCGCAACGTAGATGACGAGATACCGGGGACAGATGAATAGACTTTCGTGAAATTTGTCTCCGAGAATTCTTTAATCAGTGTTGGTGATCGTTGTTGAGTATGAAATTTGTAGAGACGTGGGGGACGATAATTTTTGGAAAGGGACCGAGAGAAGCAAAACAATCTGAATTTTCAAAGAAAGCAAAAGAAGAAAGAAAAAAAAAAATGAAGAAAAGAACAATAAACCATTTGTCTGAGGACGAAGTGTGTAACCCTTAGCTGCTTGGAGGATTTCCACTTGTCCGACTTCGAGTTCTAAGGCTTGATGCCATTGTTTCCTTAACTGCCTAACCAAGAGAAGCCCCTTCTGCTTGCAGTTCCTGCTCAACGACGGCAGCGAGTGCAGCAACCTCCGCCTCGTTGACTGTTTCCCCATCGTCAGGCAAAGTTGGGCTCAAACCGGAGCCGGTGATACTGATGGTCGGCCCGCTCATCTTCTTTGGCCCGTTTAATCCAGCCGAAAGGGGGCCACTACTAGGGTTTGCGGCGCCGGTCGTACGAGGGGGATTTGCGCAGCGATCCTTTCCATGGGCAATACGTAATGTAGCATATTCTGGTTTCGTCTTGATGCCCTCGATAGCCTTGATAGCATTGGCAATGTTGGTAAAGTTGACGAAAGCGCAATTCCTATAAATATTGGTGAGTAATGGTTTTAGATACGTATTGTCATTCAAACTGACTTTTCCTTCAAGTAGTTAACCAGTTCGATCTCTCCAAACTCCAGGAAGTCTCGCTTGAGACGCTCTTCATTGAATAGCTCAAAGTCTTCGATGCCACCGATATAGACGTTTCTAGTAGCACCAGAATGGACGGCCAAGGCAAGAGCCGGGGTCAGAGGTCCGGATGTTTTACCCCAGCCAACTTTAAGACGACGGTTATTGAGAGTAAGGCCCTGGTAAGTTGCAACCTGATAGAAGGTAAATGCCGCGGCAGGGTCGATAAAGGTGATGAACTACAATCGAGAAGAGGTTAGTTGAAACAAATTACAGTGGGAAAGAGGTTGTGACATACGGCGATATGCTTATCGGTCATATACTTGATGCTTTGCAATACTCCTCCGCGAATGGCGTTGCAGAGATCTTCAGTACTCGTCTCAGGGTGAATATTTCCGAGGTAGACGGTCCTGTTCATCATTCCGGCGGCACCACCTGGGCTCATACCACCATTGACAGCAGCCATTAATGCCATTGCACTCGCAGGAGTGGTTGGGATGGGAGATGCAAGGTCATATCCACCAAAGCCTCCGAAACCGAAACCAACGCCTGTCATGGGGCTACCAGCAGCGGCTGCTAGAGATTGGGCAGCAACTTGAACGGCGGCTTGTGCAGCTTGCGTAGTTTTCGGCTGGAAGGCGCATCGGTCCTTGCCGTAGTTGACTCTTTTACCTTGCCATGCGGGCTCGGTAGGGAGAGTAGCCACCACCTTTTGAGCAACCGCGATGGAAAGGAAGTGAACGAAGCCAATGCCCTTGTCCTTTACGATTTTGATTTGGTCAATGAGGCCAAAACGAGAAAGATCATCCCGGAGCATTGCTTCCGTGGTACTCTCATCTAATCCGCCGAGATATACGTTTCTGGTAGCGTTGTTCTGCTGGACTGCCAAGAGGACTTGAGGGGGAACAGGAGAAGGTTTGCCCCATCCAATCTTGAGCTCAGCACCATGCAAGGATATTTTTTTGAGGGTCGCATCGGTGTGGAATGCGGCAGCGGTCTGGGGATCAAGGAAAGAAATGAAGGCACATGACTTCTCCCCAAGGATGCGAACGTTCTCAATAGGACCAAACTTGATCAAGTTGAGAAGTTCGTCTACTGCAGCGGACTGGGGCAAATTTCCCATATAAACGGTACGACTAGCGGCTTGATTCGCTGCTCCAGCAGCAGCCGCGGCCTGCAGAGCATAGGCTTGAGCAGCGCCGACATTCAAAGGCGAGATTGGGTTGTTTGGATTGCCACCTCCATTGCGTGTTTGGTTGTTCTGAGCATTGAAAGCTGCAGCTGCAGCGGCTTGAAGAGACGCAGCTGCATTTGCGGGAGTCTGAGGGAATGAGGTCGGAGAGAAGGGGTAATTAAGGCCCATCATCCCCATACCGCCAAGGCCCATATTCATCATAGCGTATTGGGAATAGAGATTATATGGGTTCTGAAGACCAGAAAGAGGGGTTGCTGAGGCAGGAGAGTTGCCAGAAGCATTGACGGCCGTAACATTCAAGTTCGTGCTGGGAATGGAGAGAGGGGTAGGATAAGGTTGTTGCTGCTGTTGGCCTTGATTTTGTTGCGACATCGTAATAACGATTAGCGTTTACCAGTCCTATTTGCTTATCAGTAAACAGAAAAGGATGGAAATCGAATCGGCGTCAGCTTACGAGAACAGATTGGACCACGAAAAGGCAAAGCTACAGTAGAATTGAAGCAAAAATCGGGGACAACTCGTATAATGACGCGGAAAGGAGAAGGAGACAGGCAAAAGCTGAAAAGAGAATATTAGCAAGGGAGAAAGAAGTTGGAAAGAGAAAAGTGGGAGAAGCGTCAATGGGGGGGGGGGGGGGAAAGCTTGTTCCGTTATATAGCGGACCAGCGTAAATGGGCCACCGCCACAATATCACTATGAGCAGTGCCAGCGAGTGAAGAATCTTTTGGATACGGTGCTAGTGTCACAATGGGGGTCGTCGTTTCAGAAGATCCGTATCTTTGGGATCTCGGCGCAAAGCAAGCGCCACAGGAGTACGAAGCGAGAGGACTAGAGCGTACTAAGATATGCCAAAGGGTTAAGAACTTGAATAAATGGTTAAGCTTTGAAGGGAAAAGCCTTTGAAGATAGATTTCGGCGTTGGTTCAAAAATTTCAACGATTAAGGAAGAGAACAAAGTCGATCACCGCCTGAAACACAGCCACGTAGCGCTCTCAGTAAGAGGAGTTTCCAGCAGCCATCGGGTAAAAACGGAGAATAAATCCAGATAATCTACTAGGCTCACAGGAAGTGGACGACAATGTCTTATCCATACGAACTGTACAGGGGAAGTTCGTGCGTATGCGTTGCTAGCATAAACTAGTCAAGACTGATGCGCTTTGCCCTTGTCTTCTGCTTGATTGAACATATACCTCAAGTGTGGGTATTGCCCTTGCAGACTCGCTGGACTCCTTAATCTCGAGTAATGAGATTACACCCCAGTTAGCGGTTCGCATCATGGAACGAGTACGAGTCTCACGCCCACAAAGAATACAGACGCTCTCTGACACATTCACAGTATGACAAGGCTGTCTGCGATGTTATTTCGAAGCAAGTAAAGGCAAAGGCGTCCTTCAAGGGCCATCTCCACACTTATAGGAATTGTGATGATGTCTGGACATTCTATGCAAGGTAATTATTCCCTTTTGAGTCGTTAAGAAACATTTCTTACTCGACCTGTTCTTTATAATAGGGATTGTGTTCTCAAAATGGAAGGAAACGAACAAATCCAAGTCAGCAAGCTAAAAATCATCGCCTGCAAGCACCCAGACGCCGCCGAAGGATCCAAGGGCCCAAAGGCTGGGGGATCCTCTGGAACTCCGGCCAAAGACAAGGACAAAGAAAGAGATGGATAATTCAGCCCTCCCGGCGACTGTCTTTCCCCGTACTTCAGATCTACTGGGAAATTGTTTCTAATATTACCACGGACAACTTGCTATCTATCGTAATTAAATTTCGGGAATGCTACGCCGACTCCTCTATTCCGTTTGTCTTGCTTTGGGCTTATCCTCGTGTTTCTCACTATTTACACTCTATGTACACTCTAACCTTCAGCTTATCTAAATTTGGGTTCGTGGTCAGAGTTGGTAACAGAGGAAAAAGCTCTCAAAAGGGAGATCTCAAGAATCGCCCAAGATTATGGGCTAGATTGGACCCCAGGGGACAAACGAGAAGGCGACAGAACAGACGATAAAATTAGGCACAGCAATATCAAGGGTCCCGAGGTCGAAGAGGAAAAATCCCAGGAATTCAAGAGCAGTCCCGAGCCAGAGGAAGTCAAGCGCAAAAGGATTTCCGTTGCCGAGAAAGCAGAATCGCAACATTGACATTTGTAATCCTTTTCGTGTACTTATGGATGATGGGACGCCCAAGCGCGGTGCCTGGTGCCAATTCGTCGTCATAGCTTCTCAACCCTGTACATTCTTTGCGCGGAATCTGAACACACCATGGACTATGACCACGAACCCAAATTTAGATAAG